GCAACATATGACCATCAGCAGAAAACTTTTTTTTTTTTTGCTTATTTAAGTCTTGATTAGCCCTACACACTAAGGACTCTGACACAGAGCTAGACAATTTTACAAAGACAAACTTTTGAGATACCATTGTTTTGTAGGGATTTCTACAGTAAAGTACTTGTATTAGTACACTAGGACCACAAATGTACAACAGTACAGACTAAAATACTAGAAAAGGACTGAGACAACCAAGTGGAACCATAAGATCAAAAAAAGAATATTAACTGTGGAGTGGAACTGGGAGGCAATGATGGAGTATGAGACCATAATACATTAATGGATCAGCAAATAGGATATGATTCAACATCTCCTTCAGCATTATTTGTCCAAAGGGAAGATAAATGCAGCAAAGATAATGCAATATCATTACCAGTAAAGAATAAAACAAAATACACAGTGATGACTTGGTAAACAGCATCCCCTTCTCCCTTGTCACTGCAAGTAATCATACTGACAAGATAGCCATCTGCCCTGGTCCTCATAAATGTAGGACTGCAAAAGCAAGAAATGAAAGGATGACAAAAATCTATGAGATTTCAAATACAAGTTTACGAAAATTAACTTGTTCAAAAGTAGATGTCATGTTTTCACCTATCCAGTGATCCATTGTGAGTTGCTGCACTTTAAACTCTCATATCATATGATGACACACTCTGTTTGGCTATTGCAGAGCCTTGATATCTTAAACTAGAGTACTTGCCAAGTTACATCTGTAGCCTAAAATGCAGGAACTTCATCACTGCAGCATGAACAGACAAAGTTATTATTTATTGCCTTTTATTGCAAAACACACTGTTCTTCGCATAAAACGGTGGGTTCTGCTGAGTATTTTCACTGTCAATAAAACATTGATGGGTAGTGGGAAAGCAAGAAAACCCCTTCCTCTACAACACACAGAAAGTGCTCACAGGGCTTGGAGTACTGCAGCAACAGAGCTCTTCCAACTAATGACTCCTAAGTATCTTCTTTAGAAACACCTTGCCTGACCTTCACCTATTAAAAAAAATTGGAAAAGCTTGCTTTCTTCTGGCATCTCTTCATATACAATCTATGTGTATCCTGTCAGAGGCTAGTATGCAATTTCATTCACATTCTCACATAGATTTGAAAGAGAATCTCTACCTAGCTTATGTTTCTCAGCACTAGAAATAATAAATCCCAAAATTTTAAATGTATACCTCAAAAACAGTGCTTAAAAAAACCACACTACCCATAAATTTTGCTTCCCATATATTGTACACGATTTTTGTGAGTACTTGTTCTTTGCTCACATGGTCCCAAGTTACATCTTAAAATCCTACTTCATTTTACTTCATGCTTCCAAAATGTTGTCATAACAAAAGCGTTCCACACTTGCATTCCCACATACCCTTAATACAAATTAATATTCAAATATTTGTTTCATATAAGTTATAAAGTAACCCATGAGATCTGAGATCTATTGGATCAAGTTTTTCAGATAAAACCTTTACATCTTTCTGCAGAAAAACGCTTTTAGTTGATTCAACATGCCTGAACAATTTATAAATAACACCTCTCCTCCTTGGGTGGGAGAGGGTGCTATTTATAATTGAGAGGGAGGCACCTTGGCCCATTGGAAGACAATGAATTTGAGTACAGGCAAGGTTGAGAGACAATGAAACTGAGTCCTTCACTTATCACAGAGAAATTAAGGCAGTTATTTAACAAGGAGTATGTTGTAAATTCTCACTGTCTTTCTGCTGCCCTATGCATTTCAATTTTTTATGTCGACTGCCTTAGGAGATAAAAAACAAAAAAGGAGGAGAAAAAGAAGGGGGGAAAGTGTGAAAGGGGAAGAAAAAGGTGAAAAGTGGTGAGGAAAAGCAAAACAGACGGGGGAAAGCTGAAAAGAGGGGGAGGTGACAGACTTAGGGAAAGGTGATGAAAAAGGTATTGGGAAAGAAAGAGTAAAAGAGGGGCAAAAGAAAAAAGAATAAGGGTAAAAAGGAGAGAGGAAGAAGAGGACAAAAAAATAAAGGGGGAGGAGAAAAAAGAGGGGAGTGAGACAGGAAATAAGAGAGAAAAAAGGGAGGAAAAAGAGAGAAAAAATGAGGAAAACAGTTGTGCCTTGAAAAACACCTTGCATTCGATTGGCTCAAAGCATGCTCTGAAGCATGAAGAAAATATTTCTCACTAGTTAGAGAATGTCCAGTGTTTCTTTCTGCCATTTCAACATTAGAATGAACTTGGATGCCTTAAGTAGAGACATTTTTTAAATTATTCAGAATATTTTGACTATACAGACTGTCATATTAGACCAGGCTGGCAAACCAGTCTAGCCACAATTTGCTCAGATCAGCCAGCACTATATCTTGTTCTCAAGACGCAAGACAACTAACATGGTATAGCCTATTAGTACTGAACAGAATATGGTAGATATGGTATAATCTACTCTTTTAAGTATTTAATCCTAATTGTTAGCAATTGTTTTAATAGTATACACTAGAAATACTTTTTCTAGCTTGTTTAGCTCCATTTGTCATGCATTTCAAAACTCTGTTTGCAGTAGTTGTAACTTTGGATAGTACTACTATAAACATCCCAGGAGATTTACTCATCTTGAATATCACAAGCAATGGTCAGATCCAACTAAATGGATTAAAGGAAATCTGGCAAGTTATGAAATTCCTTTAAAGTATAGTCTTAATTGCATTGTGCATGCCATCATTTTTGAGCGTGAAACATGAATACTTCTGTCAAGCTATAAAATGAGAACTTCAGAACAAATCCCAACCTCTTGGCACCTTTTGAGCCATTACTATATCTAAAACAGAAGCAATGTGAAAAGAATTGTCTTCAATAAATATGCATTTTACAAACAGAGCTCCTTTGGATTCACCTCTAAGAAATCAAGAAAAAACATTCACTCCGACTATTTTATGGTATCAGCCACATACAGGGAAATAATCTCCACAACAAGCAGATTCAGTCCTATCTGGTATTATTTGACACTTGGGAGCCCTGAGACTCTCTCACTTGACAAGAAAGCAAATAAAGCATCAAAATGGTGGGTTTGTATTTTGGATTGGATCTTTAAGATTACTTTAAGCTTGCTTGGACATACACTTGTGAAGACCTCTGCCTCCGTATGTCAAAGGAAGTATCTTTTTTTGGCTACTTGCTAGCCCTTACCTCCTATCTCTCTAATTTTCACATGTCCCAACAGTGAGATCACCATATCAAAGAAACTAACTGAGTACCCAAGGTCTAAATTCAACCCACTTTCCATTCTTTCTGCATGCACTAGTCAGCAAACTAGTCAGCTTCAGTCTTCCAGCAAAGTTATTTCTGAAAACTAGCTCCTATTTCAGATTTACAGTACAAGACAGACTCATGATTTCAGATCTACAGAACAGAAATATAAACAAGAATCCAACACATCAGTACCTAATTTTAAGTTCAGCTACAATTTTGGTATTAAACTGCTATTTTCTGAAAGCTATATATTTATTACCGACATTTTTAATGTGAGAATACCTGCAAAGACGGAAAAGGAGTGCCCCAAATCAAAAAGGAAACAAAACACCTGATTCATATTAAGTGAGAGATCACAGAGATTTGTGACATAAAAAACACCTGTTGTATTATAAGAAGACTTCAATTTCCATGTCAAACACTTTTTCTTTAATAAGTAGCTTAAAAATTCTCATTAATGCCAGTGATTTATAATTTTTTTTATTCCACCTATAAGAATACTCATCTGCAAGTATACAGCAGGCAATGTGACAACAGTCTACAGTAATACCTACCAACCTGCCAATGACAGCACCTCTGTGTTTGCAGTCTATAAGTCAACCGCAGAACTGACCATGGCTTTACCATTGCTGAAGAGCTTTGGAACCCACCCCTTCACATAGCAGTTCTCACAGCACAACCACGCTCCGGCAAGTGGATAGTTGTATGGCACATTCAAAAATATGTGTGAACCGATTTGTAAGAGGTTGATACACAAAACATATATATTTTGATAGTAATGCCTGAAATTAACACATGAGTTTTAAAGGAACAGAATGAAGAGTGAAGGCTTAACAAGAAAAAAAAAAAAAAAACAAAAAAAAAAAAAAAAAACCAAAAAAAAAAAAAGGGGGAAAAAAAACCCCGAACAAAAATACAAACAAAAAAAGCCACTCCCAGGGACTGTCGGGAACCATACGCTACTCGAAACAGCTGGAAGTCGAAACTAACAAAATGACTGCACTTGAATGCTTCCCATGGCTGGACACCCATTGGTGAAGAAATGACAGCGCCAGCGGGCCAGTGCCTAAGTCCGGAGGGGCTCTGCCTCTCCGCACGCAGCCATGTTCCCACCGCCGACATGCCGCCCGGCCCTTTCAGCCGGACCCGATGACGGGTGGGAGGCACCGGGACGGCCCCGCTCGCTGCCCGCAGGGGCTCGTGCTGGCGACGCGGGGCGTCGCGGGAAACTTTAGCGGCGGGGAGCGTGCCGTGCCCCGGCTGTTCCCGGGAAGCTCGTCCCTCCCGTCTGCTTTGCATGGGACACAAAGTCCCGGTGGGGAGAGCCGAGGCTCCGCCGCATCCACTCCCTCAGGCGGCGGCGGCAGTGCTCAGCCGGGGACAGGGAGGGCGGGATGGGGGCTACCCCCGCCTCCCAGCGTCGCAGCCGCCGCAGTCCGCAGCCAGCAGGGGAAGAACTGCTCCTGGCACCCGCACGGCAGTGCTAAGCGGCCCCCGGGCGTCCGGGAACCCGCCCCAATGCATCCGCGGGAGGTGCCGCGCCTCGGGCACGCGCCGCCGCACGTGTGCCCAGGCAGAGGCAACGCCAAGCGCGGCCCGGCGAGTGTCCGGCCAAGGCGCGGCACCGGCACGGCCGCGGGGCTCGGGAGAATCACCGCAACTCAAAGTATCCCCTTCTCCGGCTCCCGCTCCTTCCCTCCCCACAACCCCCGCGCCCGGACGAACTCGAAACAGGTAGAACTCACGGGAGGAAGACGCGCCGCGCCGCGCCGCACCGCTGACTCCCGGCCGATCCGCCCGGCCGCTGCCAGCAGCGACACCGACACTGGGGTCCACCGCCGCGACCCGCCCTTCTTCCTGCCCCGCCCCGGGACCGCCCCCCCTCGCGCTCCGCCCCTCCCCGCCCCGGCGTGGGGGACGCGGCAGCGCACACGTCGGCCCGGTAGCTGTGCCGGGCTGTGCCGCTGGGAGGCGCTGTCTGAGCCCGCTCTGCTTTGATCCGCACCGGGTCGGGCCGCGCCGGGAGTGGGGCCTGGTGGGTCTGTTGCCACAGGCTGGAGGCTGGGGTTCGCAGGGGAAGGCCTGGAGTCAGGGGAGGGTTCGGTTTTCTCGGTGAAGGGTCTGGAATCCACAGGGGAGCGTCTGAAGTCCGCACGAAACGGGCTCGGTGTTCGCTTGGAGGGGTCCGAGCCTTGCGAGCCCCCAGGGAGGGAGCCAAGCGTCCCGTGCCCTTCTGACTGCCCTCGGGCAGGAACGGGCGGGTGTGCGATCAGTCCCGGGGGATGAAGGCCCTTCGTGCCGGGAGAGGAAAGGCTGTGGTTGCGGGGTCGCAAGCCGTGGTCAGCGAATTGAGGGGAAGGCTCTGTAGACTCCTCTGCGGGGTGTAGGGGCGGGTGGTAGCACCAGCTCAGGACAGCGGGGAACCACGGCATGGTGTCCTCCGAAGGATGGGTGCTGGGCATGCCTGGTAACGAAGGATGCAAGGTGAGGGTGCCGATTGTGATTGTAAGCTTGTCGAGAGCTTCAGTGTACTTTAATAAGATGATGTTTTCAGTGAAATTCGTAACATAACATAGTGAGCTGAAGCTTGGGCACGTGTTACAATGAGCTGTATCTCAACCACACATACCCACCGCATGGGAGGGGAGCCTGTTCAACATCCCTTGCTGAACAGGTTTGTGCAGGAGACCTTCGAGAGGTTTATCTGCATAGGTAAAATGGAAGAATTAGGGCCCAAATATGTATTGTTTTTCAGGGGCATTGTGATGAAGTATTTGTTTATCAAATAGGACTGTCCTGATGCTCCTTAAAAATATAAAAAAGATATATGGTAAAACATAATTCTGTCACCCTCAGGTTAAAATAATTGGGGTTTTTTTCTGAGTAGATCTACCAACTTCGTTATGACAACAAATCTGGGTAATTTGGTCTGTGATGGATGTTTCAGTATTTCTAAAAAGGCTAAATGTATTATTAAGATGGAGCATTTGCCTCATTCATATAAAATGGAAAATGCAACACAAATTAATTATTTGAAGGCTTATTAATATTTTTAAATTTAAAAACTCTACTGCATCTGTAGAGGTCTGGCTTGGTTTTAATTGCCTGGTCCTTTTTCTTCAGAAGTGAAAATTTGCTTTTGTGCATCTATAGGACATAGCAAGCAATTAGTGATTAATGTGTCCCAAAGATGCTTTCAGTCTTTGATGACAGGAAATATTAAGCTCTTTGAACAGAAATGGTGACTCACTGGCTCCAACTGATTTGCAAAGTCATGCCAACATTTTTTTGTAGACCTCTTTGTCACACCAAGCCACCATCAAAGTGCCAGACTTCCCTTACATTATTGATCTGGCTCATGAAAATGAGCACTGTAGGTGCAAAGGCCTGGTCTAAGGATTCCAGGACTTGCCCTGAGCAAAGCACATGGTGCTTTTGTGAAATAACAAATCAATAAACACCTGCTGCTGAGGCAGGAACAATGCAAAGGCTTGCCCCCACCTTAAGCTCTAAGTGGCATTACTGAAGGGTGCAGCTTTGCAGTCTCTCACAGGCGGCTACATTCTGTTCTAGAAGTGTTTCCCATGCTAGCTGCTCTTATGTAAATTATTTAATTGGTGTAGATTAATATATTCTCAAATTCTTTGCAAAGGAAAGCATGGACAAGAATTTGGAGGACCTCAAAATAGTCTTTAGCATGGAAATGTTCCATTAATTAGAAGGTCTTAGTTTATGACAATGCTAGGGGCCTACAAATTCAGTCCTTTCTCTAAGTGTGGAATATTTGGTTTACAGGTAGTAATAAAAGGAATCAAAGTATTTGGGAAAAAAAAACAAGAGAGAAAAACATTGAAAAGATATATTATCAAGTCTCTGAAAAGAAACTGTGAAAGAGACCGACCTTGGGGCCTACTAAGAGGATAGGCTTTAATGTTTTCTTTCTGAATTTTAGAAGTTTTTTCTTCAAAATTAGAGAAAATTAATTAAAATCTCAGCATCTTATGACTACCTTTGTATCAAAGTCATTAACTTGAATAGAACCTGTCAAATCTACTAGTTTTATTTATGGTTAATGTGAGGCAGTCGACCTTAGACTTTATGTTTGATGGCTGTCTATATCATAGAAAAATGAGATTTTTCCTCAACTGCTCATACTGCTTTCATTAGTTCAAAAGCTGTTTTCATATTGCTTCACAAAGGCAATAAAAATCAATACAATAAAATGTGATGCTTTATTTTTGTCTCTTTATGAAATCTGAGACTTGGCTTACAGTGTCTTGTCCTTTGAATTTGAAAATTTCTAACGTAGAAAAACAAAATAAGTCTTAAACTTTATTCTGTGACTTATGCTGTTACCTCCTAGTGTGAAGCACTGAAAAATAAACAAAACAAGCCCCATGTCCTGTAAAGTACTAGATTTCCTGTAAGACTGACTTCACTGAGTTGAAAAACTCTTTCTCATCTTGCATGACTGGATATCTACTTTTATAATAGCTTTGCATGGGAAATAAAACTGTGGGGTTTTCTTTAGCTTGCCAATCTTTTCATCTGCATTAGATCAAAATTCAGCAAGGAATTGAATTTTGAGAGTAGGTATATGCTTAAGCAATTAATTTTAGACCTTTGACATAAAAGTTACATAAAAATATAAGATTGGTCTGTGCTTGTAATCTCATTATAAAGTACTTGGACTTCCTTGTATACAGGAATAGACTTAACTTAATGTCCTATGCTTTTGCATTGCGGCAAATTTGAAATTTTTCATTAACCATGCTAGACCATGCCATTTATAGATCTGTGAGAAAATGTTCTTCCAATTTGTGCAAATCCTTTTGAGTCATTCAATTGTGTTATGGAAGTATAAGCAAGTCTTCTTGCTTATACTTCCGTAACACAATATTGTTACTGGCAAGTAACAATAGTAAATATTAAATCATAAAGGTCAGTATCATATATCTTGATGAAGTATTTTAGATAGGTAAATTGATTCCAGGCTCTGAGCTCTTTGCTTTGAGTACAATTTACTCTGTTTTTGCCACAGATACTTAATTTCCTTTTGCCATGGTTTTTTGGAATTATTTTTGTTTTGGTTTTGTTTTGTTTTTAGGAAAAACAAGTTACAAACTTTCTCTTTATTCTCTTGCATGTGTGAAAGTACAGACTGCATCATACACTAGAGAGCTGCATGGAGATTTTACTTTGCAAATGGAGCAGCATGCTGGCAGCAAAAAGGATGAAAGCCTTTGAACAGCTCCTTTGATGATAGAAATCAGCCCATGATTCTCCTTCAGGCTGCAATTTTATTCATCACTATTTCCTAGGTTTGTTTCTAGCACCAAGATAAATTTCAATGTAAAAAAAGAGTCCCAGTGAAAGAGATATATATTATAAAGATATGTAACACAACTGTCATTAAAGTACTTTACATACCTTGGTATAAAGCAAAAATACACAAAACAAATGCCTTTATATTGGAGGCTTAATTTTATCCAGGTGAATGGAGATATGCAATAAATCCAGTTAGGCAAGTCTGCATCCTTAGCAAAACTTCTGCTCTTGTGCAGTAAATGGTTTCTGCAGACTGCAGATGAAGTAAGATTTTGGGTCACTGCTGTTTATATAATGCCTTTCCCATGTGTAAAGGATGTTCATCTCTACCTCTGGTAGGACTGTGCTTAATTAATAAAACAATAATTAATGTCAGTGTTTTGAAGACAAATTATTCATAATAACATCTTACCTAGAGTGATGCCATATTTTGCATACCACTGAAAATCATTTCTAGTTGTTTCAGAACAGAAAATGTTCATTGTTGTATCTCTGTTTTCTATTTGTGTGCTGCTGTCTTACATATACACTATCCCTTGAATCTTCATACATGAGATGGCTGAACATATGTATAAGTGATCACTGGTGCCTCAATGCAGGTAATCCAGTTGTCATTAATTTGAATGTGATAACTCAACTGTCCTTGGGAAATTGTCTATATTTCTCTTATGGTTTTTTGTGTGTCTTTAAATAATCTTACTCTTGCCGTTTTGCCTCTGGGATATCTACATACGTATCTCTGAAGGGTTGGGATTTTTCCTATACTTAACTTTTATTTGTTTGCTTGTTTGTTGTGAGAAAAAAAAACTGTTAGATGTCTGTGGTAATAACAAAAGACTTGCAAAAAAAGTTGAATTGAATTAGAACTTACATTCCATCCTTAGATTGTCTCCTAAGAATTTGGTGTAGGAAAACAGTGGATTTGCATTCTTTGTTCATACCTAATAGTATTAAGCAGAGACTGAGATTACATTAGGAATTTAGTATCTCACTACCAAATTCTGACATGTGAAAGACCTGATGACTGAGCTGCAGATATGGTCTTTAGTGAGAGGCATAATTTCAAAAGTTAATCTCTCTTAGTGCAAAAATACTTTTTTTACAGAAACAGAGGTACCAGCAAATGAAAATGTTTTAAGTCTATCAGTTGTCCTTTTTGCTCTGAAGGGTTTTGCTGATATTATACTACATGCATTTAAGATGTACTTACACTATCCTTTCAAGATTAAACTACAAAATATTTACAGATTTTAGAAAACGAACCACAGGTACACTGAAAAGAATGGAAATTAGGTAATTATTTGTTACAAAATTTTGAAAGAAAAATAGCCATAATAGGAGATTTAAGAAGATAAAGACAGAAGAGTAGTGATGTCAAATTGTCCCTTGCATGTATGTTCCTAATTGACTATACATATAACTGTTTGCCTAGAATAAAGCTAAATCTGCTAACAAAGTCGACTGTACAAACAACTGTTGTTTAACTTTTAGAATCCATTTATTCTGTGCTTACATTGTTTTTTAAAAGTAATTGCATTC